TATCCGCATACCTGAAGGATCAATATCAAGAGAAATTTATTTTGGTATGGAGAAGATGGATAGATTATATTCAGAGAAAATATGAAATGAACAATTATCATATAGCTTTTGATTAATTATTGTTACTTATAAATATTTTTATATATAATTTATATATATAGTTCATAGTTAAGGTGATTGTATGTTAGAGTTAAAGTAAGTTTATACTTGTTTATATTATGAATGGGTTGTTTGGGTTAAACTTGGATTACTATATGCTTAATCCTGTATTCAGCTCTGGGAAGTCAGGGGGGAGGGGGGAAGGGGATTAGGGGACTGAAATTATAAAAATCGATGTATTTATATGTTATAGGTAAATAATAACTGTATTGAAAAGAGGAGACGCTCGGCTGGCACCCCAAACTGCACTCGATGAGGCGGTTAAGAAGGGAGAGGGGATGTAGATGGTGGAAAGGAGGAAGGAGGAGAGGTTGTGGGATCAGAGGGAGGAAGGACAGGAAAGTGAATGAGGGTGGAGGCAAGGCGGGGACTGCCGAGCGTTTCCGAAAATGTATTGATTTGGATTATCTTTTATTGCTTGTGTATGTAAATGCATCATATTGGTATTTGTTGTTTAATTACAAAAATCAATAAAAACTTTATTATAAAAAAAAAAAAAGAATGCTGAAATTTAGAATGAATCGATACTGTACCAAAAAATATAAAAAGGGGAAAAGGTCTTCCTCACATATATTCAAAATAAGAGAAAGAAAAAAGTAATGCCTCTTTTCTGCAGCTAGTGATAGCATTTGGCTTTCATAGTTTGGACTCAAAAATTAGTTATCAGGGCTAGGATGGAAGACTACCAAAGAATTCCATCACTGCAAAGTCAAAAACCATCCCTGAAGATGACAGTGCTAGTACTGTTACCAAAGAAAATGAAACAGTCCTCAAGACTTAAGCTCTCCAGTGCTCTAAATCAGCTGCATCTTCTCCCAGATTTTCACAGCTGCAGCATAATCCCAGAAAAAAAAATCCCTTCAATTAAAAGGGTTGCAGACAGATGCTACATGAGAACCCCCAGAGGCTTTCATTCCCTACTAATTACACAGTAGTTTGAAGTTATCTCTTTTTTATATCACTTTCTTTGATGAATGTTGTTTTTAATTCAGTATCTGGTACCATATGATGCATGTTAAATGATAAAAGATGGATCACAGATAACCAGATAAAAATAAGGAAATGGGAAAAGTCCAGCTCTGACAAGCAAATACATCACACTGAACAATAACATATAGCATTAACATAGATGACCTGAACGAAGATGGAGATAGGTTTAAATTATTATATTGATTTTTTGAGATTATACTTACAGTCTTGTCTGATTTTTCCATTATGACAGTCACTGCAATTCTTGCATAAGAATTCAGAATCTCCGGTAGTTTTATATTGATTACTGTCACAACCACAAACAGTGTTTTCCCACTTGGTACAACTGAACTTTATTATCTGCTGAAAGCCTGGGAGGAGTGAGGAAAAGCTGAGTATTTCTATTGAGATCCTACTGCTGTATAAGATAGCAGAATAGTCTGAACATCAAACCAAACTTGTAGGCTCTTATTTCTGTATGCAATGTTTAATTTGTAAAACAGTTCTAATGCTTATATTTCATATCATTAAAAACAAATAAAAATAAAAATTTACCAGCCAGTTTAGTGCAGTGGTTAAAGTGCTGGCCTAGAAACCAAGAGAATGAGTTCTAGTCCTGTCTTAGGCATGAAAAACAGATGGGTGACCTTGGGCCAGTCACTCTCTTTCAGCCTGACCTACCTCACAGGATTGTTGTGAGGAAAATAGAAGGAGGAAGGAGTATTATGCATGTTTGCTGCCTTGAGTTATTTATAAGAATAATAAAGGTGGAATAAAAATCTAATAAAATAAATAATATAAAAACATTTGAATTTATAAAAAGATATAAAACTCAATATAATGCTTCCTCCTCCAAAAATCCGTACCAATGAGCCTACACTGACATTTTTAGCAAATTGTTATTGTTAAACATGCTTCCCGACCTCTTTATCTGTCATTTGACTCCAGCTTTGCCCTCCCCTTCCCCTCCTTTCCCTTTCCTAATTTATAAATGTAATTTATAAATTTATACTGCAGAGAACTCTGCAGAGAACAGAAAATAAAGATACAGATATTATAATAAAATATAGTAAACTTAATGAATAACTTATTAACAATAAAAATATAGACACATCTGGCACCAACAGCTATATATACACAAATAAATACACAAAGTTCTAATGCTTACTTTGTTCTTTAGTGCTCTTTTTTAATTTAACCAAATGCAAAGTTAGACTTACTTGGACGACATGATTGACATGCAAAACACTTTGGTGAATTATTTTCTGTAGGCATAAATGCATTTTCGGGACACACAGAGCATTTAGTTGCTTTATCTGGCCCTGAACAATGTTCTGAAAGGTAAGTTCCTAGAAAGGGAAAGGAAATCACCAGTGAACAAGTAAATGACTGAGACTGAATCTTTCAAATAATCTAAAAATGGAGGATGTACTGTAACCAATGTACTTATTGTTTATTATATTTATATTACTGAATATATCAAGGATAGTTTACAACAATCCAAAACTATTAAAATTTTTACATTAATAACATCAAAAATAAAATGTCTATGCCTGAATTTAAAATAAATGTACTAAGTACTGTCAAAAATCATGATAAATGGACAATTATAAACTGACCAAGATTTTATAATAGACAAGAAAAAAAACCTAAACCACCACCAAAACCCACATGTGTCAGGAAGAACTCTTCTGGAATGCTATTATAAGAGAAGGCAAACTAATTTTGGGGAGGGGGAATGCTGTAAAACCAAAGTTCTAATAGCACTACTTCACAGAAATTATGGACAACTGAGACTTTCTCCTTTGATGAACATGCCAAGTAAATTGATTCTGGCTGGAAAGAGTGGTCCTGTCCTGGGGCCAAGCTGTGCTGCGCTTGATAGTTCAAAACCAGTTGTTGAAGTTATAGTATGCCTGGAAACATATTGGCAATTTATTCCAGCTCACAGCTCAATGTGAGGTGCTCTTTGCATGTCAAATCCACCAAGAACTGGGTTATCACATTCTATACCAAGAGCAGTTTTCAGTGGTTTTCCAGGCAGCCCCAATAGAACATGCAGGTAATGATGACTGCATGAGCTACCGTTGTGAGGCAGAATATAGAAGCCAGCAGCTAGTGCTATCAATCCAAAACTCTTCAGCACCCCAAAATGCATCTTCTGTGGCTCTTGGAATCCCTTCAAAGCATAGTAGCTGTAAATCAATAATAGTGTACAACTATTTTGAAGTTGGAAACAGAAAAAATCATTGTTTGATACATGGAGGAAAGAAATATGGAGGTAGCCTTAATTGCAAAAAATATGTTGATATTTACTAACAAACCTGAGTCTTTCATACAGAGATTAAACAAAATAAAATGAACATTTGGGAGCCCTTTCTGACTATAAAATTAATTGGACTGAATCTGAACTGAGCACTTTTTTTCAGCCCATCCAACCTCACAGTTTGTTGTGTACTATATTTCTTATACAGTCACATGGGTTTCCTCTGTAGACTGCCATTTTTTCCTCCTTGGAATTGTTGTCATATTTCAATATCTGCTGAACAAAGTTATGATCAGAAGAGAACTGAACTATGTAGTTACCCAGTTCTGAGGCCAGTGTATATTCCAATTTCCTGCGAGAAATCAGAACAAACCAGTAGAAAATTCCTGTCTATGTAAGGCTTCTAGCCAATAAATAATTTTCCTCCAACAAAACAGAATCAGGGATTAACAGTTTCCCCCTAACCCAAAACTAGCAAATTTGGGGAGGGGAGGGGGGCTGAGAATGCTTTAGTTTTTATGAGCACATCTATAAGCATATGTTCCCACATAAGCTCTCATCCATACATCTACTGTATTCTTACAAACAGTCCCAACTGAATCCATACTCCGACTGGGTTAACACATTGCAATAACTGTGTTTAACTATTGCTTATTCATCAAACCAGATTAGATTTGCTGGCTGGATTTGTTCAAACATATTAAGTCACAAACCATAATTTACAAGTCATGAGGCGGGGTTTACATAACATATGCAAATCAGAACCAAATATATCACGTTATGCCCTAATGCAGTGTCAGCACTACGCTCATTGTAAGGACCCACCCCACTTTGCATTTTAAGAAGACAGAACTCTTGGAATATTTCTTCCAACAGGCATCTTTATTAAGAGAAAATGGTTGCAGGCATTCTAGACAGGACCTGGGGCCAAAGCCCTAAGGTTCAAGGTTTTAAGGGGTCCCCAACAGCCCCACCCCACCCCACCATCCTTCCAGCGACAATCCCAGGCGTTACATTTCCACCCCCTTTTTCCTCACTGCCGGTGGAAGGGAGACTTCAGAGGGGAGTAGATGAAAGCTGATGGCCCCATTGTTATGATTAGTCCTTTTGGTGGTATCCACATTCAGTCCCTTTGAAGTTGTACCGAAGGAAGTGAGGGCCATAAAACCCCTTTGTTCACCCCCCCTTCCCCTTCATCGTATGACAGAATCCAGAGAGGGCAGAAATGGGGTTTTCCATAGTTGATAACTAGAGATGAAATATAATTGGATTCTGACACTAATATTCTTTGTCCAAGTTCAACTACACCCATGCACATATACACACATACTTTACTGGGCCCTTCTTCTTTCCCAAGGTTTTCTTTCAGGAGACTCCTCCTCTCCTTCAGGAAAACAACTGGGAATAAACTGGTTTTGTAATAAGTAGCAGCAAAAATTATGTAATTTATCTTCCCTTTTATGGGGAGTAAGCCTGAAGGTTTCACCTGCACTCTCATTGTTGGGAGAACATAAATGAGGTGAATGGCAGGCATATTTGCCATTTAAGATACTGTATTGCTGTTCCTTATCCCAATCAATGTAAGGTAAATTCCAATTTGTTATTTCTAGGCTTATTTCCTGAACTTAGATAATTAGTTTGTAAATGTGTACACACATATCATCTTAGAAAGTATGATAGTAGGACAATTAGGTTACAAAATAGTACTGAGTTCATCTATTAAGTTACACAATCTCTAAGAGGATAAATAAATGCCACTACTAATCTACACACCAAATTTTATTTGGTCTAGCCTCAATTTATGGCTAGTTTCTTAATTAGAAAATGTGGCATAAAAGTTGGCTATTACTTGTTCAATATAATTACAGTTGCTGTGATGGAACAATTGTGTATGTTATGGATAAACATACACACCATCTGTTTCCTTTCTCTGTAAGCAACATTTTGCAAAATGCTGAAAGGCCATAAGGCAGGGGTGTCAAACTGCCAGCCCACGGGCCAGAAACGTCACGTGGAAGCCACGCCCATCCCATTGCCGGCAATGGCAAAACCAGCCCGATACATTGTGCGAAGTCATGTGAGGTCGCGAGTTTGACATGCCTGCCATAAGGCGTAAGACATAGTAACCAAAATAAATTTAGAAACATGAGATAAGAATACAGCTAAAACTAGTCAGTATGTACATCATTAACTATAATCCTCCATATATTGCAAATCTTTCCTGCTTTTACCATATCATACATTGCTTCCTATATTACCTTTCATTCTTTAAACTTCTCATCTCTCCTTTTTTGAGTATTTCAAAGTCCACCTAATGATAGCTTTCTCAGTATTCCCTCCCAAACCATTCTCTCTTTATGTATTTATTCTGCACTTCAGACCCCATTCATTTTCCATACATGACCAAACTATCCCCTTTCATACTTCTTTCATAAGTCACTCACACTTGTGTCCAGTCCACATTCATTTATTATTTTATCCTTGACCTTATTAATTTTTATTTACTGCTCATAAGCATCTCTGCATTCAACTTACTTTTATGTTTTTCCAAGAGATCTGCAACTCTCAGTTCTCTATAACAATGGATGTAGAGAAAAAACAACCTGGTCTGTACATCCATGCATAAAACCATACTGTTTTCTTAAATGTTGCTCATTGTGACCTGTCATAACCTTTTCTTCAGTATTTTGCCAAACAACTTCCCAGGTACGCTTAGCAAATGAATCTCCTGTAGCTTCTGCATTCAGTCTTGTTACCTTTCTCTCGGCAACAAGAGTCATAAAACTTTATTTTGCTCATTGACCAGATTTATGGAACATGGGATAAAAAAGATAAAAGATAAAATTATCTAAGTAAAATAAAATGTACTAAAAATAAATTGAACATTGTTGAAAGATTTAACAATTGCTAATAAGAAACAATTTAACAATTGCTAATAAAAAAATCTGGAAAATGGACGTAGCAGTATTTGAACAGAAGGAACTGGAGAAAAATCACAAAATACAAAGACCTGCAAATAGAAGTAGAAAGACTGTGACAAAAAAGCAAAGATAGTACCAATAATAACAGCACTCTAGGTCCAATTCCAAAACATCTTGAGCAACACTTGATCATCACTGAGATTGACAAAACCACCATCTACAAAAACAGCTTTACTTAGAACAGCTTACAGCCTGTGACAATACATTTGTCATGGTTCTGACAGAGGAATCTCTTCAAAAGAACTTTGAGGCATTGTTTTCCTTAAAGAATCTTTTATTCGAGAAACAAACTGAATTCCCCTCCCCTGGCACAAAGTAACAAAGCACAATTCCCTCCTCCAATTAACAGTCATAAATCACATTCCCCAATTAACTTGAAGTGCAGGCTTTCTCCCCAGCTCTTTAGCCCACCAAATCTCTATCAACTTTGGGTTCCCACGGCTGAATTATTATTGTTATGACTAGCTGGACTCTCATCCACATTCCCCCTCCCAGCATCAACAAACTCTAAAAGCGATAGAGAAATAATGGCTACATTTCCATCTGTTGTCAAAGCAAGAACATCCTATGTTAGCAGCATTGACATTTGGCCCCCCTTACAAAAAGGACAAATTTTGTAATGTAAACAAAAGCACAGGTTAGGGGTTGCCTTTTGGTTTGTTAGGGTGTTTCTTATAGAACCTAATAATGAGTCTGTCAGCTTTTACATCACTAGATTTCACCCAAGTAGCCCCAGACAACGGATATCCCTTCCATTGCACTAAGTACTGCAATTTCCCTTTAAAAATTCTTGAATCAAGAATACGCTTTACTTCATAGTGAGTCTGTCCTGCCACAACGAGGGGTCTGAGTGCCTTCTTAGGGGGAGGTCTTAAGGTGGAACTCCGAAAAGATTTCAAGAGGCTACAATGGAAAATAGGGTGAACTTTTCCTAACAGCCTAGGAAGTTTTAATTCCACCATGACCGGGTTAATTATCTTTACAATGGGGAAGGGTCCTAAGTATTTCAGTCCTAACTTCTTACTAGGTAACTTAAGCCGTAAATATTTAATTGACAGATATACCTTTTCTCCAACTTGGAATGTTCTTTGAGGAGCCCTTT